CTGCTGAAACCTAGAACCCGTTAGAGGCTTGTAAGAGACATGGAGACTGCAGTGTGTGTTACGCCAACCAGGCAATTATTTATAGATTAAAAACTAGCTGACAGGAGCAAAATCCTTTCCAGCATAAAACCTCCCAATTTTGCAATCCCCTTGTTTTCCATATTATTTAAATTGTTTCGGCTATCAACGTCCAAGATGAACAAGTAAGAATCATAGGGGAGAAAAAGAAAGAAAATCAGCAGGTCAACCACAGTTCCTGAGATGCACAGGGAAATGCAGGGTTATATGGAGGTTCAAAGGGCAGAGAAGCAAGGAGCTGGACCAGCAGTGGGAAAGGAGCCAAGAGTAGCGGAGACCCTCGCACAGGTAGCACCTCTGACCCAGCCCTGCTGACGGGCGCAAAGCAGCGCTGCTGGTATCAGCAGGGAAAGGGAGGTGGAAGGAAGTGGAGGAACAAAAGGAGGTTCTGACGAGCTCAGCCTACTACATGAGTAGGCTGCAACACGATGTGCAGCTTTCTAATTTGTATTTAAATCACTTATGGCTGTTTAATGAGTCTGAAAGATGATCTAGACAAATAGTCTTCCGTATTTACACAAACTGGGTTCTTTGTTTTTATCTCTTCAACTACTTGAGCATTCAGTTTATCTTCTATGTGAAATATTTCAGCTGCTTTATTTTAAGATACTTAATGCCAAAGTCTCTACACACTATTTTAATAGCATATCCCTCAAGTACCATATAAAGTGATAGTTCAAAAAAAAAAGAGGCTCTAAGACACCACAAGTTTGTGCTTTTCAATCCCACAGGACAGTAGAGCAGTTCAGAAAGGACTGTGAGGACTAACTGTATATTCAAATGATGCAAGAAAGCTTTTGGAATTCTGTTTTCGTGAAAACTACAGTTGGCAAAGTTTAAGTGCTCCTATGGGCTTCTACCCGTCAGATAAGCATCCTGACAAACAAGGCATCAGCATAGCTTTCCTCACCATTAATTAGACACACAACATTGTCCTATACGACTCATAAAACATTCAAAAACTGGATAGACCTTTGCATATCACACATTTTGGCCACTCCTGGCCATGGCAGCTAACCCTCCTGGGTAGGGAAAAACCAAGT